GAAAAGCAGGAGCACGTTCTTCTATTGTAAATATAATCACACTATATACAATAATATTTTGTTCAGACTGTACATGAGTTTGAACTGCGTCACTTCACAGTTTACGATACACTCTGATGCGCAGTCCGCCTCGCGCAAAGCGACATCACACTTTTTACAATAGAAGAGCGTACTCCTGCTTTTCTTATTTAGCGAAACACACGATGTCTTTGTTTCCCTTTGGTTGGCCAGTGTTGTGAATGTTTCACCTCCAGTCGACTCAGTTGCGCCCCAGGTAACCTTGCCCTCCCCCGAGAAACGCCACTGACCGTGATATTCAGCTTTGAGACTTGGTGATATTGTAAATATAATCACACTATATACAATAATACTACTGTACGTGAGTTTGAACTGCGTCACTTCACAGTTTCAGTTCACAGTCACTTCAATATGATAGTCACACTAACATGCGTGGCATTTCTCAAAGCAGTCCACTTCACACAGGACAAAATCACACTTTTTACAATAGAAGAGTGTGCTCCTGCTTTCCTTATTTAGCGAAACACATGATATCTTTGTTTCCCTTTAGTTGGCCAGTGATGTGAATGTTTCACCTCCAGTCAACTCAGCTGGGCCCCCTGATAACTTTGGCCTTCTCCTGAGAAACGCCACTGACCATGACATTTGGCTTGTGTGATTGAAGAATCATCTTGGGGGAGGGAGGTTTCTAGCAAAATCGGATAAATTATGTTGATTGACAAAGCGACACTCTCACCTGTTTGTAGTACTCGCAAAATAGTGATGCAAAGTCATTATAATACTAGTCGAAAAGAGCGCCAGTTTGACACACACTGAAAGTCGCAGTGGCGAAGATGCCTTTTACTCACAAAGTAATACTGGCTCAGTGGGTTTATACCTCTTCCAAGACGCAAAATAAAAATGATTCCGACACTGACTTCCTAACTGATAATTCGTCAATGGAAACCAATTCTTGCATGTGTCACCCTTCCTTGAAGGCTCTGGAAGCACTCATCTGCAAGCACAGAAGAATATTTCCTCATCAGTTCTCAAAACAAAGCTGGGCTGTATTTGGCTGAGCAGGCCATAAACAGTCATATCTAAACGTAAATAGTATTGAAACCAGTACTGTGATAAACGATTTCTTTGTTCAGAGCTAAGGAATGAACCACTGACATGACCTCACCTAGGTTTGTTTTGGTTTCAAACCCAAGGCCAAACTGCCAGCACTCCCAAAGAGAACATGTGTCCTGTGCCACATATACGTGTCATTTGGCCAACTCCGGTTGCTGCTTGCGACATATATATGTGCCATTTGGACGTTAAAGGTTAATTAGCATGATCTAAATACCAGCTGCAGAGGGCTCCCGGCAACTTAAAAGTCCGTACGTTAAAGGTTAGATTGGATTGAATTAAAATCCTTCATGTATTTTGAGTATGCAGCATATAGTGCATGGACTTATAGTTGTAAAAAAGAAGTACTAATACATGTTTGGTCGAGAAGATAACACTAAAGACATTCAAAATGTTCAGTTATTCCTTGATGTTTTCATTTCCCCACAATAACCATTTTTAAACAATGCCATACCTGCAAAGTTTTTTTTTACCTTTGTTGTGTACTATTATACATGTAATTAGAAGTTTGGAGCCAGAACTGAATATTATGCACTTCAAGGGGTTGGAGTTTCAGTCCTGGTAGGGTTGAGAATTATCTTCTCTCGTCACTAAGACCGACTCTGAGACACACCCAGCTGCCTATCCAATGGGTACAGGGCGTTCCTTCTCTGGGGGAAAGGGGCTGGAGAGTGAACCTGACCACTCACCTCCAACTAGTGCCAAAGTCAAGAAAATGTGGATCTATACATCCACTCCCCCATACGTCTTCATGGTGTAGCACTTAATTAGTTAAGCACAGTGACAACTTTACCTCTTACCCTTACAAATTTTACAAAGGCTCATTTATTCAGGTTACGATGATTTCTATTTGAAGCAGTAACAGAGGTCACAAAGACATGACAACTTTGTTTCTGATCCATTAGTATGTGAAAAATTACCTCAGGAATTCTGTATTTTCAGTCATCAAGTCAAAACTTGACCTGGCTTCCGGGTGTCTCAGAAGGGATTTTGGTGTCATGAGGATCAGGGGCTTGCGAAATGGGAGAGCAATCTGGCGACGCAAAATGTGGAAATAGTTTGCTGGTGTAGAGCAGTTGGCGACCTGAAATACACAAATAGCAAAATGTTCAAGTTTCTGACAACTTCCTCTAAGCACAGGACAGTCTAACACTGTATTTACACTTTGAAAGGAATCCCTTTATTTTGAGAGAGGAACATAATTACAAATGTTTGAATCCAAAGTGCTGAGGAAAATATCTGAACCTAAGAAGGAGAAACGGAAAAATTCAGGATTCCACTAACTAAGAAACATGTGTCTTTTAAGCTGACAATAACATACAGGTTCATTTTACTTTGGCAACATGATGACTTACCTCATAAGAATATGAGAAGTGTAAGGTTGACATAAACAGTTTCCTGCCATCTGCCAGAGACCCAATGAACTGCATATGCCTCGAAGACATCACAAAGTCAGAAAAATGACCTATGGAGGTCCTATTTCTTGCAATTTGTGAACTTTAGAATTCTTTACTTAAGCACACTACTGTTTTAAGACTTGATGGCATAAAAAGTGCAGCACTTACACACAAAAATACAGAAATTCTTTTCAAATTAAAATGTAGAAAGCATACGTGGTGTGTTCAAAAAGTATCGAACCTTTGGTTGGCAGAAATACATTTACTGATTTGGAGGTACAAAACCCTAATCCCCTTCAAAGTAGTCTCCTTGGTAACGTGTACGCTTCTCCCAGCGCTTCTGCCATTGTTGGAAACACTTCTGGAACGCGTCTTTTGGAATGGTGATCAGCCAGGCCGTCGCATTCCAGATGATGTCTTCTCTTGACTCAAATCGGGTTCCTTTCAGCGGCATTTTCAGCTTGCGAAATAGCCAAAAGTCACACGGAGCCATGTCGGGGGAGTAGGGAGCCTGACTAACCACAGGGATTTTGTGTTTGGCGACGAAAGTCTGAATCAGATGTGCAGAATGGGCGGGTGCGTTATCATGATGGAGCTGCCCACAGATCTGGTCGTTTGTGCCGCACAGCATCACGAAGGCGACGAAAGACCTCCTGGTAGTATTCCTTTGTGATGGTTTGGCCTTGTGGTGCGTACTCATGATGCACAACCCCATGGGAGTTGAAGAACACGGCCAACATGACCTTGACATTGCTGCGGACCTGCCGTGCGGGATGTTGGATGTTTCCACTGTGACGACTGCATCTTGGTTCCCGGGTCGTACCCATAAACCCACGACTCATCGCTTGTGATTGTGATCACGGTGTTCAGAAAGTTGAGGTTACAGTTTGCATTGTCCAGTATGTCCTGTGCAATTTCCAGATGGCGTTGCTTCTGCTCCACTGTTAGCAGTTTCAGTACAAATTTCGCGGACACTCTCCTCATGCCCAAATCCTTGGTCAAAATTGAATGTACCGATCCAATGCTTACCCTTGTCTCATTCGCAAGTTCTCGGACTGTGATACGACGGTCCTCCATGGCCAAAGCCCACACTTGCTCAATGACATTCTCATTTCGGCTTGTTGAGGGTCTGCCTGAACGCGGTTTGCTGTCCACTGATGTGTGGCCATCTTTGAAGCGGTTGTACCACTCCTTTATCTGTGAGTTGCTCATGGCATTGTCCCTGAAAGCCTGCTGAATCTTGCGAATGGTTTCCACTTGGGTATCGCCAAGCTTTTCGCAAAATTTGATGCAATATCGCTGCTTATATTGTTCCGTCATTTTACACCTTACTGGAATCCGACGAGTGCTCACTACACGTCCTCACTCATAGGCCGGCTGCCAGCGACTGACGCTTTCTGTGGGCGGGAAAAAATTCACGACTGCTCATGAATGTCTCCTCCACATCTCCACTGAGAGGAGCCTCCCGCGCTTCATTGGTTCACGTGGGAAAAAAGAAGGTTCGATACTTTTTGAACACACCGCATATGTGCAGGAATGTTAGCGATCTCCTTTTGTTCTGGAAAGGTTCCATTTTTGAATTTTGACCAGAAGACTAGTTATCCAAATGGAGGGTTTTCTCAGTTCCTCCAATCAAGGGCCAAGTAATACTTTTTGTGGAATATTCATGCATTCTCCCACATCAACAACTTTACATTTTTAACAATTATCTCACTGGATGATACATAACCTCAACAGGTGACACAACAATGTAAAGTACTAAAATAAAACAAACAACATTCAGTATATAAAAGATTAAACTACAAAATAGTAAATAATATGCAACTTCCTTTCTTCTCCAGAAATATGAAGCCTTTTACAGTAAGGAAGATGTATAAAATTCTCAGTTTGGACCAAAACGTTTCACAAACTGAAACTTACAATCCAGTTGATGTCATGCAGTTGTCGAACAGCAAATTCTTCACTTTCTGGTGGGAAGTAATCAGGGTCGTCAGATGACATCTGCAGGAATCTCTCCAACCGAGCACTAGAGTGTTCGGGACCCTACAACAGACAGAAGCTCAGCTTCATAACATAAATTCAGCAGTACCAGGCAGTGGCTGGAAAATGGAAACCAGCAAATGTAAAACCTACACCCAATTTCCATAACTGAGACAAGAAATAATTTTCAGTAATTTAGTGAAAGTTCTACAGCAAGGAAATGTAACAAAAATCATATCAAACCATACTGAGGCAGTTATCTTTCCTATATACAGGGTGTCCCAGGAGGAATGGACCAAACTTCGGGAGGGTGTTTCTTACGTTAAAGTATGCCGATATAACCCAAAACACCTATGTCCAAAGTTGAACGGTTACGGAGATAATGGCCCGAGAAAAGTGTGGTCTTCTGGCGGGTCCACGCACTATACCTGTCAGCTGAGACTCTTATCTGTTTGTCCTTGAGTGCTGTGAGTCACACTAGCCGTAAGCTCATGCGCTACCTACAGAGCCTACAGATTACGTTGCGGCGGGGTCGTGAATGGGTGGTAAATTAGTTGTGATGAGTTGCTGAAATGCCTCTTGTTTTCACACGTGGAATATTGTGATATGCATTTTGTGTGTGGATTTTGCGGTGGCAATGCACGTGCTGCTGTTGAAGAATACCAAAGGCGTTTTCCCGATCGAAGGATTCCATCTCGAAGTGTATTTACGTGAATTCACCAGACATTGCGTGATACTGGTTCTCTTGCAAGTGTTTCTGTGCACTCTGAAATGAAGGATGTACGAATGATAGACACACGAGAGAACATTCTTGATATGGTTCAGAGAAGTCCGTGTCTGTCCACTCGTAGAATGGCCTCTCGCATCGGCATATCACGTATGCAGGTGTGGCAAACTTTGCATGATGAAGAGTTATCCTTACCATGATCAAAGGGTACAACATCTGGAACCAGGCGACCATGCACAGCGTATGGATTTGTGCCACTGGATAAAAAGCTCATCCCGAACTGTTAAGTGTCATTTTATTCAGTGATGAGGCATCTTTTACCCTGGACGGTGTAAATAATTTACGAAATGTGCATACGTGGTTCCATAATAATCCACATGAGATAATGGAAACGAAATTCCAAAAGAGATTTTCCGTGAATGTACGTTTAATACAGTTATGTGGTCAACTTATAGCGCAGTCAGCCACGTTACGTCAGCGTTGGCCAGTCATGTGTCATGTATAGTGCTTGGAAACCCTAAGGACAATTGTGACATGGCGAGTGAGTATTTTGTACTTTAATTTTATGGCTTCACGTCACTCACAAGTTAGTTTGATGTTACGTACATTATTAACATTACAGAATCCACATATTCCTGCCAGTTTTAATATGTATTTTGTAATCAACAAGTGTGTAACACCGGTCAAAGTTTGACACTTCTCTGGCCATTATCTCCGTAACCGTTCAACTTTGGACATAGGTGTTTTGGGTTATATCGGCATACTTTAACATAAGGAACACCCTCCCGAAGTTTGGTCCATTCCTCCTGGGACGCCCTGTATATATATACATATATAAAGCACTCTTTCCTTACATATCTCAATGCACACAACTATTTGGTAAAACTGTAAATAAATTACTTATACATTTTTTCATTCCTCTTCATATCTCTGCTGTATAGTGTTGTAAATGGTCTTCATAAGAAACAAGCAAATGAGGGGGGACAAATAAAAACTCACCATGCCTTCCAAAGCATGAGGCAGAAGCATCACAAGACCAGACTGTCGTACCCATTTGGCTTGACCGGATGAAATGAACTGATCAATGATACATTGTGCTGTATTGTTAAAATCTCCAAACTGAGCTTCCCAGCATACCAGAGCATTGGGATTGGTCATAGAATATCCCAGCTCGAAACCTGCAAAAAAAAAAGGGGGGGGGGCAAGGCTCTTTTTAACAAATACAGGCAGTGGCAAAGGAACCTGATGATGAGGTGGCAGGAACCATGTCATTTGCTCGCTTAACTGATGCTGTTGCAGTAACCATGAGCAGTGGAGTGCATAACATCAACCGTTTATTGTTGAAACGTTTTTTAAAATTGGTGACTGTTGTTAAAATGCATCAAATATTTTGCAAGCACTTCAACACTGCTCATCACAGATTTCCTTGCCCAAATACCACACAGTTACTGGCAGAAACTTCTGCATTAAAAAAGAGACCATCGGGCAATCATTTATAAGGAGTCTTAGGCGTTCAGTCAGGAGACACTCTGTTGCTCTAGGAATATCCGACTGCAGCATAAGGAGAATTTTACACACGAATCTGACTTTCTATTTGTACCAAATGGTGGTGGTGCAAGAACTAAGCAATCCTGACACGGTAAACCGCAGCACAGTAGCTGAGTGTTTAATCGTTTGTCTGACGATGTCTTTATCCTCATGGATAGGCACCTATTATTATTCATTCCATATAAATAAAATGAGTCTGTAACAAATTTATTTTCTTAGCATTCTGTTACTCTGCCTTCTGTGTACTTAATACATTTTCTAAACCTTAACATAGTTCCATATTAGGGTTTCTTTACTAACTAAAATTGAACCTACGAGGTGTGTTCAGGAAATAACGGGAATTTTAAAATTTCGTGGGTTTGGAGAGTCCAATTNGTACAATATATGATATAACTCCATCTTAAGTGCAAACTTCATTTTGCTCTTTTTTTTTTTTACACACTACATGTTTCGGCCACAGACGGCCATCATCAGGTGTATACACTCAATTTAAAAACATAGGTTTTCCTGATTGTTCACTTTCATTGCTATTACCAAAATCTACTTTGTTGATATCTTTGTTATTTACACACGTTAATTTTGATTTCTTTGAATCAGCACTTATAAAATCTTCAGTTCTAATTTTTAAATCCTTTAAAACTTTTTCTCTAAATTTTAAAATTTAAAATTGTCAGGGTTACTCACCCTATGTCTATGGTGCTGCAGCGGCTTCTTCTTGTATCTATTACTATACAGGTATTATTCTGTGTAGTCTCCCTGTGTGTGTGCCGCTGCTTATCTTTACTACATGTAATTTTATATATTTTTAAAGGATACAATAACTTGTGGTATGAAAATAATCTGCATGCCTATATGAGGAGATGGTACATTCCTCCAGTATACAGAAACTGTGATCTGAAAATACTTACCCACAACTCCAAACTCAGACAATGAGCTATTGCACACAGTGTAGGGACCCTGATCAGGATACATATGGCACAGAGGTCTGTATGTAGCCTTATCCACTGTCTGATGGTGCAACACATGGTGGCGATGACTGCAAATCGATTAATAAGGTTAGGTCAAGAAATAACTGGAAGATTAACTGGTAAAATTCACTGACAACTCTCTTACTGACCAAACCTGAGACTTGTTTGACAGAATAGATCCAATGGACATCAAAATCAGGAAGTCTGTAGGAAAAATTACACATTCTTTCAAACAATGCAGCTAATGTTTTCACAAACACCAAATGTTTCTCTAACAAAAGCACATTTTGCATGTTAAGACAGAAATGGAGGATATTTTACTGCTCAATTTATGTATTTCCCAGATTTTACAGTGGCCACTGTATAACAATTCCATACCCCATGATTTGCATCTGCCAGCAAATATTTATTTTTTTAAGTGATTGTCACGAAGATGTGACAATAATGAAGGAAATTCTGCATCCTCAATGTCTTTAGCATCAAATAAATTGAGAGTTTAAAAGATTTTCCCTCACTTTAGTAACCTGCAATGCACAAAGAAGTTAAAAGCTGAACCAATTCTTTATGTATGTAAGTTATGTTATTGGGCTGGCTCTAAATGGGGCTGTTGCCAGACAATCTGTAATGCCTTTTACTGCTTTACACTGACTAAACGCCCTTCTGAACACACACTTAAAAGTGTGATAAAATTGTTGATTTTAGCCTTGATTATTGGTCACTGACAGGCATGGCAACTGGCAAAATTACTCACAGAGCATGTGCTCCAGTCATCTTCTCTGCACTGCATATTGTTCTTATATTATTATGCAGTACAGCTAATCTCATTTTATCTCTATTCTTCAAATGGTAAATAATGTCGACAAGTGAATCCACTTCATTTTCCTGTTCATTCCAAATCGTTTTCCTACTATACCCTTAGACAAGCTGTCACAGATGTACTACTTCGAGTTTCATATTTGAAGTCTTAAGCACTTCCATTTGTTTGCCACAATCAGGACTGAAGAATTTTTAATGTAGATACTATAAAAACATCATGAATGAATTTCCAACACCTATTCAGTGGCCAAGTGACAAAATACAGGGCGTCTGGATGAAAGGTATCCAAAATACGTGGGTCATTTCATAAATAATGCACAGGTTGGCAACACTGCAAATTAGATGATGCAACAACAGTGAGCCTCATGTCAGTTACAGTTCAGGGCTTGAGAAAGAAGTGCATTATTTTGTTTCATTTATAATGTACTCTGTTCTTAAATAATGTGAGTTAGAAATGGAGACTGCATGGTTCTCGGGTATTGTGACTGTTGAAGATCAAAGGTCGTATATTTAAGATTGAAACTTTACGTGGAAAAAACCGACAAAAATCCACAGTGCTTTAAGTGAAGTTTGTGGCGAGTTAACAGTGGACCGTAGTTCAGTTTCTCGCTGGGCTAGTCATTTTCGTGGCCGTCGTATGAGTATAAATGATGATCCAAGGCCAGGAAGGCCGAAAACATCAACAGATGAACGAAGTGTGAAACTTGTGTCAGATGCTCTTGAAGATCGTCGTGCAACATGTGAGGAACTTTCTGAAACCACGGGGATTCCACCAACGTCAATATTCCGAATTCTGACAAATGATTTAAAGAAGAGAAAGATTTCTGCGCGATGGGTCCCTCACTGCTTGACTGCTGAAGAGAAGCAGAAACGCCTTGACATTGCAACCTTGCTGAAACAAAGATTAGATGTTGAAAGTCAAGCATTCTTGTATCGACTTGTCGCTATTGATGAAACATGGGTTAGAGACTTTGAACCAGAGCTGAAATCACAGTCCAACGAGTGGAGAGGTCCATCTTCCCCACGACCAAAAAAATTTCGACGATCTCAATCAAAGGTCAAACAAATGATGATCTTTGCTTATGATCACCCAGGAATCATCATGATAGACAGAGTTCTGTGCGGGAAAAGTGTCGCAGTTTATTATCGTGACTTTATGCAAAATCTGCACAGAAAAATGCACAAAAACCGACCTCAGTTGCTCGAGGCTGAGCCGATAATTCTCCATGACGATGCTTGCCCGCACATAGGGAATGTCATAACAGAAAAGATGCACCAATATGGTTGGGAGGTGTTGCATCATGCTCCCTACAGCCTGGACATGAGTCCACCAGACTTCGACTTATTCCCAAAGTTGAAACAACCTATGCGAGGCAGTCATTTTCCCTCTCTGGAAGAGCTTTCTGCTGCAGTTACCTGAGCCATTCGACAGATAAACAAAGATGGTGTTCTGGATGGAATAGTAAAGCTTCCCACATGTTGGGACTCGGTCATTGAGAAGCAGGGGGCTATATTGAAGGACTGTAAAGAGATTAAAAAAAAAAAAAGTAAACAAAAAATTGTGTGCATTATTTATGAAATGACCTACGTAAAACATCTGTATCTCAGAAGCTAACTGTCATACATGTATCCAGTTTATGTTATCAGAAAGGAAAATTCTGAAAGCATTTTTTTTCCATGTCCGGCTTATGTGCATGTGCCAGCTGGTGACCTTCGGCAAGCTCAGTAACGATGTCGATACCACAGGAACAGGTTCAATGCCTGTTGTGGCTAGTAGAGTTGTAATTTCTTATGGCTGTCCAGTGTCATTTTAGAATGCAGTATGGATGTCAACCTCCTACACAGAAGAGCATTCAGTTCTGGGACAACAAACTGAGAACTACAGGTAGTTTGTTGCCTGTAAAATCTGCTAGAAACACATGGGCCTCTGAGGAAAATGTCAAGCACATTAGAGAGGCATTCAAGTGAAGTCTGCGCAAATCAAACCTGTCATATGACTTTCTGTTGGGAAAACACATGGGTAACTTTGATCTCATACCGAAGATCTCTTACATTATACGAAGGGCGCTCGTATATAATGCCTCCTATATTTTGTGTTAATATTTAATGTCTGAGTTGGATGTTGGTAGTGTTGTAGAAAAGGCTGGACCTTTCCACCAATGTACCGTTAGTTTGGTTGTCGTGCGACAGCAGAACAGTCTACCAAAATGGGGTCTGACATAGACGTGCATAAGAAACAGAGGTTTGTTATTGAATTTCTCACTGCTGAACAAATTGCACTCACTGACATCCATTGACGCTTGCTAAAGGTGTATGGAGACAATACAGTGGATGTCAGCGCAGTGAGGCGGTGGGTAGTGCGTTTCAACAGTGGCGAAAGTGAAGTGCATGACAAGCCACGCCCTGGGCATCCCTGCTCAGCTGTCACTCCTTACAATGAACAGCGCCTCATCCGTACAGATCGGCAGATAACGACCAGGGAACTGTGTGCACGGCTTAACCTTTAACGGCCGAATGTTATAATTTCTAGAGGCAAGCCACGTGCTTCCTTTGTGAGTGCTGGCAGTTTGACCTTGGGTTTGAAACCCAAACAAACTCATGAACTTTTATGACAGACATTTATTTGTTAGCTCTGAACAATGAAATGGTTTATCAGGGTACTGGTTTCGAAACTATTTACGTTTAGATATGACTGTTTATGACCTGGTGAGCCATAGAGTTCAGCTTTGTTTTGAGAACTTAGAGGAGGAAATATTTGTGGCGCGCTTACATATCAGTGCTACCAGAGCTTTCAAGGAAGTGTGATGAATTCAGGGATTGGTTTGCAGTGTTGAATTGTCAGTTAGGACGCCAGTGGCGGATTTTCTAATATTTCGTTATTAGTAAGAAGTCAGTGTCAGACTCCTTTATTTCTTTGTATATCATTTTTATTGTGTATCTCAGAAGGGGTATAAACCCACTGAGCCAGTGTTACTTTGTGTGTGAGGACATCTTCGTCACTGTGATTTTTGGTATCAGTGGCGGACTGACTGACACTTTTCGACTCCTATTGCAATTACTCTGTATCACAATTTTGCGAGTGTTCCTAACAGTCTTGCTTTTTCAATCATCATAAAGTATAGGATTTAGCTGGAAGCCCTCTCCCCCAAGATAGAACCTCGAAAACGAGCCAGATACTCAAAATTCCTCGATGCTGAAGAACTGGAGGAAATATTGATGGAAGATGAATCTGATGAAGAGTTGGAAGAACTCATTGCACCTTCCTACACTGGATGGCAACTTCCGAGATGAATCTGGCCATCCTATCAAACCTCATGTAATTGAAGACTACAATGCACACACGGGCTTTGTGGACAAATCTGATAGAATGGTGAACAGCTATGACATTGCTCGGAGGACATGGAAGTGGACAAAGAAATTGTTATTCCACCTTCTAGATATGACTATTCTCAATGCATATCTGTTACACAAGTCATGTGATGGAAAAATGATGCACAAAAAATTCCGCGAAATTTTCGTGCATGATTTGATTCTTCAATCACATGAGGCGAATATCACAGTCAGTGGCGTTTCTCGGGGGAGGCCAAGTTCATCTGGGGCCCAATTGAGTCGACTGGAGGTGAAACATTCAAAACACTGGCCAGCTAATGGGAAACAAAGATGTCACGTTTGTTCTATAGAGAAGAAAAACAGGAGCAGGCTTTTCTACTTAATGCGTGATGTTGCGTGCGCTGTGTCTCGTGGACTGCTTCGAGAGTGGGACGCGCACGTCAGAGTGTAAACTGTGAAGTGACACAGTCCAAACCATGTACAGTCTGAACCAAATATTATTGCATGTAGTGTCGTCATATTTACATCACCAACACGATTCAAGGTTGAAGAAAAACAACGTGTAAGTCTTTAGAATTTCATAACGTATATAATAAAGATTATATTTTGCAATTCATGACAAAATAATCACAGTTAATTTTCATTTGTAAAACCTGCCCTTTTGTGTATATGTAGAAAATTTTATTGTCTTTCAGATTCTTTTTAGTTCATATTACGATGTTGCATAGAACGGAAAATATGCATTTTTTTCTGAAAGTCTGCAATGTTAAAGACTTAGGGCCATTTAAATTCTGGCTGTAGGGAGCTGCGGCAATTTAAAAGTCCGGGCATTAAAGGTTAATATCAGCTGTAATGCATTGGAAACGATGTTGGGGAAGCTGGATTATCGCAAAGTTTGTTCCAGGTGGGTCTCGCGGATGCTTACACAGGACCACAAAACTCATCGAACGAAGTGTGTCAGGACCTGTTGCACCAGTTTGAGGCTGAATGCGACAAGTTTCTGGACAGCACTGTCACTGGAGATGAGTCGTGGTGTCACCACTACGAGCCGGAATCCAAAAAACAGTCCATGGAGTGGCAACATCTGGATTCCCCAAGAAAAAAATAAGTTCAAGACACAGCCATCGGCAGGGAAAGTGATGTGCACGGTTTTTTGGGATAGGTGGGGTGTGATTTTCTTGGATTTCCTGGAGCCTGGTGAGACTGTCAATTCTGAACGTTACAAGATGACGCTAAGCTGAAAGCCCACATTTCCCGAGACAGGCCAGAGAAGCAGGCAACCTTTGCTTGCAACACGATAACGCTAGACTCCATACCAGTTTGGTGACCACTGAGCACACTGCAAAGTTTGGCTGGACTGTCTTACCACATCCACCTTATAGCCCCGATTTACTTCCATCTCTTTGAGCCTATGAAAGATGGACTATGTGGGCAACATTTTCCAGACAACGATGATGTCATTGCAGCTGTAAGAAAGTGGCCAGCATCCGCTGGTGCAGACCTCTATGGGCGCGGCATACAGGCTCTTGTTCATCGCTGGCAAAAGTGCATAATGAATGGTGGTGATTATGTGGAAAAATAACTGTAAGTAGCTGAAATCTTGCTCTATTTGACTGCGTTACTATGCTTTCTGTATCTGTTGTAGTTTTCATTAAAAAAATAGGAGGCATTATATATGGAACGCTCCTCGTATTTTCATTTAGTTACACGTGGTCAAGTATACTTTAACTTTACAGGCTAACCAGCATACTTTTTTTTGTGGTATCCAGAAGCATTATGTACTGTTCTTTCATAACAAAAATCATTCATTGTTAAATTTCCTTGTAATGTTTTTAAGCTCTTCAGAGATAACATTTCTGTGCATTAGCTGTATTTTATTGCAGTGATATAAAGTACTCTGAAATCATACCTGAATGTTCCTCTTTCAACATCCTGACCACTTAAGCGTACATGAATTCCTTCTTTCAGTAAGGAGCCAAATGCCATTGCTTCACCAAGAGCCCAATCCACAACACGTGCTTCTACCATCTCCATACGCGACTTCAAAATACGTTCAATACCTGGAGGGAGAGAAATTTCATTTTCTCTTCATTATATGTTTAATGTCCTAATCTTACAATCTGAAGAAATCTTACAAAGGTATGGACACTCCCTGGGTTAAGCAATCATTCTGTTTTGGAAGGTCTTGCATAACCCAAACTGTGTATAAGTCAAAAACATTACTTGACTACATGTACGTACATATGTATTTATGTGTGTTTGTTGGGGGGGGGGGACAAACACACAAAACATGCACATGAAAAAATTTTGATGTAGGCACAGAAAACTAACATTTACAACAACAAAATTTAATTTACATTTTGTACCTTAATCCTAGCCCTTTTCTGCCTCAATGAAAGCAACATTTTGGTACTGGATGATAAAGAACACTTGTAGATGAAGGCTCATCACTAGCTGGCAAGGGCACAGAGGAATCAGAGTTATATCTATCTTAGGAAACAATTTACTTTAGGTCAAATTTGCGTAAGTCACCTCTTGCATAACCTGGAGAGGTTCTGGGTTTGTACTTCATATTTGAAGTATAAAATAAGTACAAAATAAGTGAAAACCTTGAAGACATTACAGTGAAATTATCATTTAAATGATTCTCTGGGGGCAAATGCATTTGAACACTGAACTTAAATATTAAATGTTACTGGTTCCACCATCTCACTTGCAACAACTGGGGGAAACGGGACCAGGAGGTAAGACAGCAGCAAAGTTTTTGGGAATGAAGCTGTTACATTAGTAAAGTGTATATTAAAACATGCACTAAGGCTGCTAAGTAAGACAAAATTTTGATAATATTTTAAGGACCATTACACACAACCTAAGTTAATAAGCAGCATTGCCAAATTATGATTACACTGTGCCCCAATCATACAACAAATACTGACCCTTATGAATAATGAATTCTGCAGCATTTGGTGGTGGAGAGGACATTCTCTTTCCAATGTGCACAAGAGTATCCTCTTTAACCCCAGTTGGAGACACTTTCAGGGGATCCTTGCCTTCAAAGAAACCTGACCATGGAGAATCGAGCCAGTCTTTGTACTTGATGTGAGTCTCCTTGCGAGCATTCACATATGACTCCTCACAGATCTTCTCATACTTCTCTTTTACATCCTAATAACATAGACACAGAATAACACTCGGTATCTACATGCTTTGAGGTACAGTCATTCTTGCTTTATGTATATGATTTCTGTGAATTCAATTCAACAATACTCAAGAATATAGCCCACTTCTTAATTTCTGCCATTCCCATTCTCAATTTAACTTGACTAAAAGAGTGGTAACAGTCAACATGACAGACGCCTGTGTAGTGTGGCAAAATATTGATCATATGGAAGAATGTTTTATTAAAATAAACACACAAAATTTCTGTACTGCCTTAGCTTTTACCTTNGATTAACCCTTTTGCGCGGTGATTTAAATTCCGCTGCCGTGTCTCTCCGGCGGTAATATATTCAGCCGTCCATTTAAATTTTGCTCGAAAATGATTTATTCATCATTGTTCTTAAATTATATGAGATAGGATCACGAAACTTTCAATAAAATGATCTTAAAAGGTGGTTTTATAACCTTGCCTTATAATATGAGCGCCCGTTATCTCGGCAATGGAAGCAGTTGGTTTAGAATTTGAGCAGTGTATCATACGCCTTGAAGCATGAAACTTTCACTAAAATGATCTTAAAAAATTGTTTTATAACTTTGCCTTATAATATGAGTGCCCGGTATCTCGGTAGTGGTTCAGATTTTGAGCGGAGTGTTGCACGCATTGAAGCA